CGGCGGCTGGGCCGTCGGTGGGCGGCTAGGCGGCTAGGCGGCTAGGCGGTCCCAAGGCGGTCCCTAGGCGGCTAGGTAGTAGCTAGGTGGGCGCCTACGCGGGTTGGGTCTTTTTTCGGCGCCGAACCCGGACGACGAAGCAGTGACTGCGAGAGAAAGTTCCGTCCACTGCGAGTGCAAGCTTCGTGTTCGTTCGAATAATATTTAAAGCGTATAGCCGAACGGCTGTACTGTTAAAATATTCGAATCAGTCTAGAAAGTATAGCCGTCCGGCTGTACGTTTATAATTTCTATTTATACAGTCGAGCCTTGCGGCTATAATGGTAAAATATTGTATTTAAAGCTGATCGGCTATACTGTTAATATATTGTATTTAGAGAGTATAGCCGCGCGGGTATACTGTTATAATATCTATTTGTGCATGTATTAAAATAAATAAAAGGTGTGATACTAATAATAGATTTTTCTGTATTTCTCGGACCTTCTTGCGTTTGGAGGTCTCCTCTTTTGCAGTCCTTCCTTTATCTAGCACATCAAAATGATTGTAATGCGACTAATAAATTCATAAAGTAAAAAACAAAAAGAAATTTCCAGTGGAAAAACAGATGCAACAATAACTCACCAAGTTTCTTTGCAGACTTCCCAGTTTCCCTTTCACCTGTACAACCATTGGCTGGCTCTACTTTTGCAGAATGATTAGAACCACCATGATCCTGGGACCAAAAACAAATGCAACAGCCAAAAAAAATTGAAGAATAAGTTTCTAAAACAATTAGTCCAAATGAATAAAAGAGAAACTGATTGGTACTGTGGCATCCTCATACATCCGAAAACGGCTCTTCGCTTGTTTCATGTTCTTAGCAGCGATAGACTCTGCAATGTAGGCACCTTGCTCACTGGAAAGCAAGCCTTCATGAAATCTGAAACAACATAAGTGGAAAAAAATTTGAAACAAGTCATAGAACCAAAATAAAAAATTAAGTACACTAATATATCTGAAACAACATAAGTGGAAAAAAAAATTGAAACAAGTCATAGAACCAAAATAAAAAATGAAGTACACTAATATATCCTAAACAAGATACGTAAATGGAGCATAGTTATCAGGAAAATTTAAATCTCCATCGATCCTGTTACAGCCCAAGAAAACCCAAAGATAAGCAAACAGATTACTGACATTTTTCCAAGACCCAAAAGATGCAAAAAGGGCCATCATATTACGCAGGAACATAGCCTAACAACAAATGATATACCCTATCTTTGCAAGCATCTAGAACAAATGAACACATCTAGAATAGAGGAGAACGGGAAGATTCAGGAACATCAAGGTTACCAAAAAAAGAACAGAATTCCATTTTATTTTTGTCTTTGACCTCTCTACTGTTTTTACATGTGAATTGTTTTTTTTTTAACAAACTAGATACCGAAGGATTGAACCTTCAAAACGTACGTATTGCAATTTCCAAAACAAAAAAATAAATAAATGAATAAAGATCTAAATGTTCATGTCCACTTCTTGGGATTGGTATATTTTGGATTTTATAACTGTCAAAATTGTTTAGTAATCATAGCATTAGCACTGACAAGACCTTCTTATGGAGCCATTAGCCCCTCAGTCAGCTTTGAGAAGCAGTGTTTGCATCACATTGTACCGGGGATCAAGTTTCCGCTGCCATCCCTGCAAAACATAACCAGTGATGAGATTTGTATAAGATCAGTTAATTGATGACCACACCAATGATAATATAAATAGGAGCAAATTGCCTCTCAGATTTGTATAAGATATCAGTAATTGTCTATTTCTGCTACTCATGGTAAACCTATTATATAATACAAAAAACTATCATATTTGTTTTTCTGAGACAATTAAATTAAATTTATAAAGAGAAGAGAAAGGAGTAAAGGATATATGGCCAACAGAAAAAAGCAGAAAAACAAATAAAGAAAAGACAACTTAATAATCTACGTGTGCTTTAATTTAATGTCTTTGTGCTTATAAATTTCACATGCCTATATTGCGAAAATTACAGAATTTCATAAGAGAATTTCCATGCCTTGGCTGCAATAGATAAAGGAAAAAGAAATTACCTCAAGAACCAAAGTGGTTACCATGACAGTACAGACATTGCCATCGACATTGACTCTATGACGCCTAACTGTCTTCGGTAACTGAAATTGGTACTTAGGTGACGAGGGGTAAATTTAAAAGATATTCAACCAAGAACGCAGCAAACTTCACACACTCTAGACCTTGACCAAATACTCTTATGACTAGTCAACTGTCATATATGAATTATACCAAACAATAACATACACAGAGCACACCAAGATGTACCTGCAAGCCTAGAGAATTACTAGTGACAACCTAGGCACTCAGAAGGACCCGTCAATCTAGGCATCCCATGTGCTAGCAACAACTATGGTGAAAGTGTGTGAAGACCAAACAGCAGAATCAAGCAAACACCAAACAGCAGAAAAAGATGACTAGTCAACTGCACAAACCCAGATGACTAGTCAACTGTCAAGAACACAAACCCAGAAAATTTACAGAGTTGGAAACCAGAAACTGTTTACCCAGAAACCCACCATTGGGAAAAACTGGGGGTCATCAACCGACCAGGCAATCCACTAAGTAGAAAAAGATTCTTACAAAGGAACACAAGCAAGCTCAAGAAAAACCTAGATCTATTTAGGAAGATGAGCTATACCTCCTTTGTGCAATCTTCTTCGCCAACTTAGCAAAGCTTGAAGCTCAGTTCTTCATGGCAATGGCAGCTCCTTCTCCAGCTCGTTCATCCCATGGCACTAGCTTGCAAGCTCCAACACAAACCGAAACCAATTTGGATTCAAAGGAGAAAGACCAATTTCTTCAAGAAACCATACTCTTGAAGAAATCAATCTTGAATCTGACCTAGATATAAATGAAAGATGATTTAAGTAGCTAGATGCAGATTTCGGGTTTCAAAAGCAGTTTTTCAAAAAGATATTAATTGGAAAAACTCATAGATGAAATAAGATAATAAGATAGTTCTCTCGAGGAAGAAGAAGCGAAAGATGGCAAGCCAAACTTTCCAAAACTTCCACCCAAAAGAGACAAC